AGAACCGAGAAGTATCGGTTTCGAGTCGCAGTCATGGTCATGCGTCATTCTTTCTTCCGAGGTTGATAAACGAGTACCACTCTCGTAAATGAATATGAAGGAAACAGAAGAATATAGAATATGCCTGTCGACTCCGCCTTTAAAAATAAGGCAGTCCTGACTGATGATATGGAAGTAGAGATCATGATCATACCACCAGGATACTGGAATTGGCTATATCGCACAAAAGCAAGACCGACATTCCAACGTATAAAAACTTCCTTCTATTTTAATTATAGCAAGATATCGAAAATACATTCTTAAATATATATTTTTGTTAAGCTGTAACTACAGCGGACATGACAAAGAAGAGATGCTCTGTTTATGCAGACTGCTCAAGATGACCACAACAAACAGCGGCACATCTCTTATAGTTTATTGTGGCTGGTCATTCATAAATCAATTAATTAATTAACGAAACGAGTCTAGAGCGGCAAAGACAGCTCAACACTGTATCTGAGTAACTGAATAACAGCACCGTATAATTGATAAAATATAAATGATTGTTCACTTCGGTCGGTCATAAGCAGACCAACAGTATTTAAAAATAAAAGAATAAATTGCAGTAAAAGTTTGAAAATCAATTATCTTTCACAACAGCAGCCCAGCGCTAATTTACGCTAATTATTATAATTTTGATTTTGAGGTTAATTACGCCTCAAAGTTTGTATACTCATAAACTTTCTGCTTACCTGGCTATCGTCAGCTTCAAAAAATGGTCACGGTGGCAGCAGCGGGTCGAGAGTAATGTTTGACAGGTAGTGAGACGTCGCTTCATCGAAGATAACGCGCAAAGCAGTACGACTGACCACAAGACGTACAAGTGGCCTTCAACAAAAGCAAGTGACCAACAAGCAAATCCAACCTACTATTTACAGAATCGACTTACCATCAACCTACCTCTTTCGTTTTACTCATAAATTTGGATGCGGTAATAACTGTGGCTAATGCCTTGACAGCCTCTGCCAACAAAACTGGTGAAAAACGTACCGTTTTTCGACGAAGGCGTAGCAAATCCAACTTTAATTCGCGCAATTTTAACGGATGGCATAAAACTATGTTCAGTCTATTAAGAAAACGGTAAAATGGACTGATTCAACTTCACGTATGGAGTCAAGATTAATATATACCTTTGCATGCTAACCACTGGTTGTCGGTGAACACCAGAGCAGAAGTTCTGGCGCTCTGATTCTCAAGCATTGCGGCCCCTTTGAATCCCGCACAAAAATCATGCTCATGACATCAACCGAAAGTATACAAACCTTTCCCACAAGTCGGCATTCCTGTGTTGCTTCAACGACAACGACACGACCAGGAAGAAACGGTCTCAATTCTCGAATTTGATTGGCCGACTAACGCATAAACAAAAAACAACGTTTTGCGCGTAACATCTGCAGCGAATGTCTCACTGGTTCATCAGCGAACGACCATTCGATTTTACGATGATTTGCCCGATTATGAA